GAGCCGACAAACAGCTGATCAGCTGTTTGTCGGCTCAGCGTGGCAGCCATGTAAATGTAAATGAAGCCGTGATCATTTAAATCGCGGCTTCATTTACCTTTGCTGAATAAACAAATCTACATGCCTCTGCTGACAGAGGCATGTAGTTTAGACGTACCTCAAGTGATCTTCAGAACATCCACCAGCAGATGGAGCCCATCAGTGCTGGCAGCAGCCTTAGAGAAAGAAAGACTTGCTATCTTTGACTCTTCAGGAAGAACAGTCAATACTGCTCATGTGCTTGAATGTAAAAGTGAATGGGCCTGCTCCAGGAGTAAGTGAACGTAAGGGTGGCAGAATGAAAGGCTATTTAGAAGGATGAAGGGCTAAGCAGCTGAGGTCTGAACCTATGGTTCCAAGGAGCCTATGTGATGCTCAGATCACTGAGCTATCTTTGTGGATTTGGCTTTGATTCTTCCACAAAATTGGCATTGGGGTCAGGGAGTGACCTTTACGTTGTGTCTGTTGCAGTGCAGCACCAAATCTGACTGACACCTCTGAGTGCTACCACAATACAAATAATAAGAATGTGAACTGATTAAATTGATGGCAAAGCAAGGATTCAGTTTGGAATGTGTGTAGCAGAATAGGAGACACGAGAGACTAACTCTCCCAAAAAGCAGAAACACAAATGACGCCTCACAGAAATCACAGAGCCACCAAAGTCAGGGGCATAAAAGACATTGGGAATGTCTTTTACTGACCATCTTTATTTTAAAATAACTTTTCTGCCTGCTTCAAAAATGATTTTAAAAATTGGGATACTCTTCCCCGCTTCTCTCAACTCTTCAGGATAAAATCTTTTGTGATGTCATAGTCCCACTAATTCTCAGTCCTTTTATGAGTGCTCCTGCAAATGAAGAAGTCAAGGTCTGATATTTCTTATTAATAAATCAAGCAAATAAAACCACACAGAGGTCTAGATTGCCTTTAACCTTTATCAGAAATATCTTGGAAAGTGAAATTATAAACAAAAGCAACTTTAATGGATAATGCTACAACTTTTCTATAAAAAAATGTCAATGTTACTTTTTTAGGCTTCTTTTAGGCAAATTAGTAGAGCCCTTCAAATTTGCGGACACCTGTTTTAAATCCATGAGTATCTGCATCTGCAGATGTGGATGCCAATATCTGCAGCTAATTTTTGCAGATATGTATGTGGGTATGGATACAAATTTTGTATCCACACAGCTCTCTACAAATTAGTCATTTTTCTTTATACTTTTAAACAGTGATACAATACATCACAGCGGGTAATGCAGCCAAGAGAGAGACAGTTGATTTTATTTTTAAATGATTGTTCATATATTCATATATTCTAAGACCAGAAGGGATTATTGTGATCATCTTATGTGATCTTCTGTAAAATACACATCAAAGAACCTCCCCAAAATAATTCCTAGAAAATAATTCTTCCCCAAGTGTTCATACATCCTATACACACAGTTGTTTCCACCAAATGGGAAAGTGAGCTTCTAGTATGTTTAGGTGGAGTATGTTTGGGCTATGGTGTTAGATTTGCTAGTGAGTCTGAAATTAAATTGCAACTATTCAAATCATGCAATGAATTTTTTGGACCTGGGCGCACTGTTCAAACGTGAGGTAAAATTTTCAAAAGCTCTCAGTGATGTAGGAACTTAAATCCATTTTCAAAAGAGATTTATGCACTGGAAAACAAGTCTAATTAAAATCAATAGGAATTAAGGTTCTTTCATTACCTAAGTCACTTTTTAAGGTGGGATTTGGTCTCTGAACTCATGTAGATGCTTGTGAAAAAATTTCCATAGCCTATTTGACAATTACTTGAGCTGTTGGTGTACACATCAGAATAATAATATAGCACATGTTATTTGACAGTGCCTTAATATCAGAAATATTTGGTCAGAAATAAATGTTTTATATGTTACTGGCTGACTCAGAACTATCTTAGCTAGGTGACTTTTCTGGAGTACATGGAATTGTATACAATGTTTGATAATGTATTATTATTATTATTTATTGGTCTTGGTTGACCAAATAACTTGATTCCCAGAAGATGGTACCAGCAATATGTGCCACATCTCAGCAACTGGTATGTTAACATCCTTTTTATGAGCATCTTATACATAAACTAAATCATAAGAAAGAAGAGGTTAGGTAATATAGGAAGAATGTATCTTATCTAAAGGAGAAAACAGATGTGCAAGTAATAGGGTCAGGAGATTGCTAAGCTCTGGGGGGTGAAACAGTATAGCGATCCAGGTCTTCGTTTGTGCAAAGTATTTATTGGTTGTGTTCTTTGTCCACATTTTCTGTTCTTTTGTATAGTGTTGTGTAATTGATTTAAAATCACAAGTGTTTACTTTTAAAAGTCCAATCAAAATGACAAAAATGAGAAACTTTGCCCTATAGTAAATTCTGAACACTAATGTTAAATCTTTTCTCAAATACCTCTTTTTTTCTAGTGAAAGAAAGGGAGATTTTCCATTCCGATAAATATTTTTAGTATAGTTCCAGTCAAGATCCAGAAATTAAAACTCTGAAAATAGTTAGACTTTTATCTAGTAATCATTGGCTCTAAATGTACAATACAACACAAGAGCACTCAGAAACCCAGTGTATCTTATCTACATAGTTATGCAGTTTGTAGGTTAGAGTGAACAACTAGTTGGAAAAAGTGTAATTATTGAGTATTAACTGATGTTCATAATTCAGTCATTGTCAGTAGTTTGAGTTTCTTGGGATATGTTGGTACCTGTAATGACAAAATTGCTTTTCAGGGGAAAAAACTACTGGAATTTTAATTCTAAATACAGTATAGCAAACGGCATGTGTCACAAAACTTAGGATGTCCTTACCTAGGAGTCTAAGTACTGGTGGGGTTTTTCCTATTGATGTTTTCACATGGTACAGGCATATAGATTTTGTTTTAGTTGATCTGTAGTACTGTAAGGGGGTTTCTATGCCTAGTTATTTTGTACTGAAAATATTTGTATGATACTGAGAGCACATCTCCTCTTGCTGGGAAATCGATGCTGCAGAGATCTATCTCCTGGGTGTTCGATTTAGCTGGTCTAGTAAGGACCCACTAAATCGGCTGCTACTCGTACCTCTATCATCTTTGGAACTACACCAGTTGCAAGAAATAAGGGAAGTTGATGGGAGAGTTTCTTCTGTCAACCTCTCACTGTGGGGATGCTGCAGAAATTTGACCTAAGGTACATTGACTCAAGCTGCACTATTCACATAGGTGGAGCTACATATCTTAGGACGACTTTCTCCCCCAGTGTAGACCTTGCTTAATATCTCCTTCTTAGCCATTTACTAACAGATATCATTAGATCAGGAGTGGGCAATAATTTTAAAAAAGGAACCACTTCATATACTTCTGAAGTGGCCCAGGGCCGCCCCAGAAGTGGCAGGGCCTCAGGCAGAAGGGTTGGGGCCAGGAGACTTCTCGTGCTCCCCTGCCCACAGACCCTGATTGGCCTGCAGGTGGGGGAGTGCATGAAGTCTTGCCCTCCCACCCCCCTCTCCCTGGCACCTAAAGAGAATCGCCAGCTGTTTTAAAACACCTGGTAGTTCCCTCTAGGTACCGCAGAGGGAGGAGACTTAATGCGCCCCTCTGCCCCCCAGGCCAATCAGTCCCTCACCCGCTGCCCCCACCCTGTTAGGGGTGTGGTGTGGCTAGAGAGAACCACCAGCTGTTTTAAAACAGCCAGAGGTTCCCTCTGATGCTTCATGCCCCTGGCAGGGGGGGAGACTTTGTGTGCTTCTCCATTCCCAGGTCTCGACAGGCCAGATCCACCAAGTTGGAGAGCCGGATCCAGCCCATGGAAGCTGTCTTGCCTACCCCTGCATTAGATACAGTTTGATTCTATAACTTGTGTCATATATTACTCCTCCCTTTCCTTCCTTATCTATATAAAAATGGCTAGTCATTTCTTACTTTGAATCAGAATCCTCTGTTTGCAACACCATGATGGACAATCTTGTAAGATATTATGACATGACAGGGGATTGTGATTTCAGATTAGAAAAAAGCAAATGGAGGGGTGAATTTCCAAGGACCAACTATCTTGTTATTGTACAAATAAACACCCAAGAAAGTAAATAATAGAAGTTTCATGATACAAAGAAAATTATTTCAAAATACTTCGGGATTCGTGTCTCATTTTTCATAAGCTATCATCAGCATCAGACTCACTGAGCTTCAGAGAGAGTACTCACACAGTTACTCAGGTTCTCCTGCAGCGTCTGAAAGGCACTAACCATGTATACCCTGTCACTTCCACTGCGGAGGCCTCCAAAAACATTTTTCACATAGAATGAGAGAAGCTGATCTCGAACACTGCAATTTTTCTGAAAAACAAAAGAAGTAAGACATTAGTTCAATGTGAAACCGTAGCATCAAACTTGGCTTAACATTTAAGATTTATAAAATTCCACATTTATAAAATGCACAGGCATGAGAAATGCTTTCCTCTATTACTTTTTTCATCCCTGTGGACATCCATTTGCTTTTTTTTTAACAATAAGCATTACTCTGGGGGTGTTTGCAACCCAGACAGTGCAATATTGTGCTAACCTGAAAGCAAAATATACCAGAAACTGATCATTAGCAAAAGTACAATCAATAAATCTGTTCTTTTCTGACCTAAAATGCAAAGTGTAGATGTGTAACAAGTATAGTGAACCCTAAATTACATTTTGAGCCAAATTATAAGTGTCTTTATGTGAATTCATTGGGAGGCAAGATCACTAGAGACCCAATTCACCTCTTCCAGTGCACTACCAGAGGATGGGGGGAGGGTTCAATGCAGTTGTTTTGGATTTTTGAGTGCTATATGGGGCCACATATATGTAGAGACTTACAAATCTATGGCTATCCGCTTTATATCCACAGGTATCCGCATCCGCAGATGTGGGCACTGATATCTGTGGCTCATTTTTGCAGATACAAAATTTTGCATCCATGCAGGGCTCTGCACATATGGGCAGAGCATATATGGGCAGGTTGGGGGCATGACTATGGTATTTGCCCTCAGGTGAACTAACTAACCCCTGGATAACACAACCAGGGAAGAGCACCTAATACATTGTTTTCACTGGTGTAGCAAGTGCCTCTTTGAGCATACTCCACCTCCCTCCCCCCCTGCTCAAGCACCATTACTGGTCTTCCCAAGTATCTTCCCAGACACGATGCCAATCTCTGCCTTATACAGGGACAAAGGCAGATAGCCTCCAACTGCCACCACCTGGCACTACATTCACTCAGCCCCTCCCTTTCCCGTTTCCATCCCCCAATACCCTAATGCTGCGTGGCCTCTAAGACAATCTTTTCAATTGTTATAGGCCAATGTGTTGTTCATACCTTCAGTAAAGACACTGAATATTGAAAGAAACTAATATTGGCCTTTGGAATTAAACACAAATCACCACATTCTATATCAGAAACTGTTCTTTTTGATCAGTCACTCTTACCCAATTCAGAATGAAATATGATCGAAGTAAAGAAGTGGAAAACAAAGAATCCAGATCTTACCATAAACAACTTTTTCGTTGCCTTTTTTAACAATCTTCTGTTCTTGATGAGGTCTTTCTATGAAGCATAACAAATGAATATTAATTTAGATGAACATACATCTAACCTTCTCCTCCAGATCAGAAAGAGGAAAGATGGACTGTCTTTTTGTTCCGTGTTTGTGCAGCATCTAGCACAATGGGGTCCTGGTGCTATGGTAATGCACATAAATAATAGTAATGCATAAGCCTAGAAGTCAGAAGATCAGAGTTCTGTTCCCAGCTCTGCCACATGCTTCCTCTATGGCCCTGGAAAAGTCATTTACTTTGTCTGTGCCCCCTTGTTTTATCCACCTTTAAAACAGAGGTAATAATATTGCCCTACCTCATGACAATGTAGTGAGCATTAATTTATTATAATTGCCAGGTGCTCGGATACTCTGATGCCATATAAACCTCTGTAAATAAGTAAAAATGAACATATCATCTGTCCAACCAATGCAATTAACTTACTGGAATAGATGCTATCAAAGTGGTTGCCTTGACATAGAGGTTCTCTGACACTTTGGAGAGCATTCCTTTACGACAGCTGTTCTTGCTTGAGGACGCCTCGTTGACTTCATTGAAAAGATATAGTAGGACTAAAAGAAAACCAGATCTGCACAGAGAATATTGTCTCATTGTCCCCACTCCTTCCTGCCTCTGGTAGAGTCACAGCCGCCTGTGGGGTATAGCAAGACTGGTTAGATGACAAAGGTTAACCTAATTCTTTTAACCCTCAAAGCAGCTTGTTTGCTGAGATGTTCATATAGATAATTTATTGCTGATGTGTTGGTAGATCACTTTTGGCGCTCTATTTTTATACAGCTTGCTCCACTTTCAACTCGTTTGACCACACCATCTGTGACGTTCATAAAAGACATCTCCATATTTACTGGTAATAAGGGCTAGGTTTCCAAGAAAGAAGAGCTTCACTCTCACATTGAAAGGCTTCTTTCTTTTTCTTCAGCGGTCTACTGAAGAGAAAATGGTTAACTTGGTTAGCTTGGTTTTGTGACAAAAGCTCGTGGATTTCTGAACCAGGTGTAAAAGGTTTGTGCAAAACATGATGGCTGCTTTTTCCAAGACACCTGCCATAGTTCGAAACTCTTCTAAAAACACTAGAAAGCCACTTAAAGTGGCAGCACACCTGTGAGCTTGTATTTTAAAGATTCTGCTTGAGCTAATGAATTATTTCAGTGCTGTAAATACATTATGAAATAACCTATGTCATAATAGAGAAAATACCATTTATTTTAATTGTTAAGGTGTCACTTTTTTGAAAATACAAAGGGGTGACAGTGAACCACCAAGAAAGACGTGGTGAGAGTCACCAGTCACCTCATAATGCTATTCTGTGTAGTTTTCCCACTTCTTTTTCTTAGCATGGGATCATTGTTCAGTCATTTATTTTAAAGTTTGTATTTTTGGAGACGGTGTGGTACATAGCATAGGAATTTTCACTCTGCCTTAATGTCTTCAGCAAAATGCAGGACAATGTAGCACTTTAAAGACTAACAAGATGGTTTATAAGATAGTTTGCGTTACCCATTACCAAGATAGCTTCCCCAATTATCACCTCTAATACCATTAGCTCACAGACGTCCCACTCTCCCCACCTCTAATATCATCAATTCACAGACACTTACCTTCCTTCCTCCCCCCCCCCGCATCTCCCTCTTGTTCTGAAATGTGATTTGTCCTTTTCATATGTGTTCATTTTTTTTAATTGTATCCTTTGGTATATATGGTTGTGACTATTTTCTTCCACTATTTGATCTGAGGAAGTGGGTCTGGCCCACGAAAGCTCATCATCTAATAAACCATCTTGTTAGTCTTTAAAGTGCTACATTGTCCTGCATTTTGCTTCAGCTACCCCAGACTAACACGGCTACATTTCTATCACTATTCTTAATGTCTTCAGTTAGAGTCACTTATTGAAGCAGAATTGCTCCCTGGTAACCAAGCTCTGATGTTTAGGTTGAGATCTCAGAAAGACAGGATTGTCTGGGTATTGTGTGTGGCCGCTTCTCTTTCAGGTCTAGAGTGAAGTAAAAAAGTTGCATTTAGACTATATCCAGAGGCTGTTCAATGGGAATAGGGTCTCAGAATCTGCTATAACTTGGCAGAGGGGTGACCGAATTAAAAACATTATGAGTAAGATAGTTACTTCTACAGATAGGGCCAAATGGAGTGAGGCTAGTTTACACTAGCTTTGGATATGACTCAGAAATTTTAGGGTTTAGAACTGTCAGATTCTGAAATGAAATTGGAGCAATGGATCAAACTTATCTCTAGTGTAACTCCATTAATTTTAATAAAGTTATACCAAGGATAAATTTAGAACTGCGTTAAAATAGAGTTAAACAAGAAATGAGAACTTGTTACACCTGTGATGAGTTTGTCCCAGTGATGCAGTTCCCAATCTGGCTAAGCCATACTCCATGTGAGGCCAACGAGAAAATAGCTTTCGGTCACTTTTATAGAGGTTTGATCCTAGGGCCTGTTCAGTCTCTACTGGAAGTTAAAATAGACTCTGGGAAAACCTAGCTGGGAGATCTTATCATTTTCTAGCCTCATCTATACTGCTGGAGTAGCCCAAAGGGTTCTGAGGAGATCAGGGAAAATGATTCAAAATGTATTTGAGTACAATGGCATAGCTGCACTGCTGCAGGCTTCTGAGTTACTATCCTGTTGGAGTAGAGAGGTGGTAGGTAAGTCAACGGAAGAATTTTTCCATTACTTAATGCTGTTTCCATGGGGATCTATGTCAACTTAACTATGCTGCTCAGGCTATGGATTTTCACACCCTTGACTGACATAGTTAACTGACCTAGTTTTCTAGCATAGACCAAGACTAAGCGAGATCATGAGATGCTATGGACTCCAGTGTCCTATGTAAATCTGAATGTCATCAACAGTCTTTCTTTTCTCAACTTTACATTCTGATGTAGACATCACCGGGCTGTCCCAGTGGCTGGAAGAAATAACACAAGGGATGACAAGAGTTGCTGGGTTGCTTCAAGTTTAACAGACAGTAGGCAGATAGGATGCTAGTAGGAAGAAGGAATCACTATAGGGAGCTGGCAAATAAACTCACTTTTACCTGTACTGAAGGGTATCTAACTACCAATTGACATGGTAATGAGTAGCCTCTGAGTCAACATGAGGCTGCCAAGGGGCTGGTTTCGTTCAACATCTTCATTAATGACCTGGATGAGGGGAAGATTTGAATCCTCAGCAAGTTCACAGATGACACTATGCAGATGGGAAGAATAGATACACTGGAATGTAGGGATAGAGTACAGTGTGACCTAGACAAATTGGAGGATTGGGCCAAAACAAATGTGATAAGGTTCTACAAGGACAAGTGCAAGGTTCTGCACTTAGGGTGGAAGAATCCCAAGCACAGCTACAGGTTGGGGACTAAGTGGCAGTTCTGCAGAAAAGCACCAGAGATTACAGAGGAAGAAGAGCTGGATACTGTATAAGTTAAGAGTATGCCTTTGTGGCTAAGAATGCTAATAGCATATTGGGCTGCATTAGTGGGAGCACTGCCAGCAGTCTGAGGAAAGTGACTGTTCCCCTCTATTTGGCACTGGGGAGGCCACATCTGGAGTATTGTGTTCAATTCCCCACCTCCACATCCACTACAGAAAGAATGAGGACAAGTCGGAGAGAGTCCAGCAGAGGGCAGCAAAAATGATTAGGAGATTAGGGCATGTTATTTATGAGGAGAGGCTTAGGTAGCTGGACTGCTGGATTTGGTAGCAGCCTTCAGCTACCTGAAGAGGGTTCCAAAGAGGATGGAGCCAGGCTGTTCTCAGTGGTGGCAGATGGCAGAACAAGAAGCAATGGTTTCAAGTTGCTGTGGGAGAGGGTTAGGCTGGATATTAGGAGATACTATTTCACTAGGAGAGTGGTGAAGCACTGGAATGGGTTGTCTAAGGAGGTGGTGGAATCTCCATCCTCAGCGGTTTAAAGGCCAGGCTTGACAAAGCCCTGGCTGCAATGACTTAGTTTGAGATGGCCCTGCTGTGAGCGGTGGGTTGGACTAGATGACCTCCTGAGGTCCCTTCCATCCCAATCTTCTATGAGTCTATGACTCTTCTCTGAAGCTGGTCACCTTGGCTGTAACAGTGGTGAGACATGTATTCTTCAATGAGATTACCCCCATGCTTAAAGTTGCACACATGCTGAAGCACTTTGCAGGACAGGATCTAGGAAGATTTTAGAAAAGGAGAGAGACAAAGAGGAGATAGTAACAGGGATCATTTAACATTTAGGAATTAGGGAAGGGGAGGAGAGCGAAGATCCCTTGAGTGTGTTTAGTGCTACCTTAAGCTTTGGGTTCTGTACTTACTGTTTAAATACCATAATGAAAAGGTATGTCAGATCAGATATAGTGAACTTCACTGCAGTTTAAAATAGCTTTAAGCATTGTAGCAGCTGTCTCCTTGTTTGTGCCTGGGAGTGGATGTCAGACTGCAGGACTAATATATTCAACATGCAGAGCTATTCCATCCTTAGAGGCCTCATGGCATCCACTTCACCAGTGGATGGGTCCCACTGCAGTCTGGGGGATTACCTGGTGGGAGGAGCCTGGCGTGAGACAACAGCAGTGGTTCACTCCACTCCCTGCACTCACTTCGGCAGTGGGTCCTGGAGCGGCAGAGCAGCTAGCTCCATTCCACCTTATCACCCTTTTCCACCCTGCTGCACTCAGCTTCACTGCAGCAGTGGAAACAGAATACCCCACCCCAGGGCACGCCACTTCCTGCTGCTGCGGAGAAGCAGGGTGCAGCGGACTGGGAGAGGATGACAGAGCATAGCGGAGCAAGCTGCCAGGCACTCCAGATCCTACAGCCACGATGAGTGGAGGAGGTGCTGACCCCTGCTGCCATTCCATCCCAGGTCCCCATAATCCCCAACATAGTTGCCTCGGGCCCCGCACTCCCGAAGGGATGACCTGTCAACGTCCCATACTCTGCTGCAAGTTTTGCAACCACAGTGCTCCCCATACCTGCAGTGTCAGGAGAATTCCTGTTATAAATAGGCCACCTCACCCAGCAGTGATAGGCTTTCACAAGAAGTCTGGTGATTATTTGCACAACTGAAACTTGAGATGTGGCTAAAAAACTCTTTAGTCTGGAAGTTTCATTTTCCACTTTCTGCAGGCTCCTTTTATAGAGTAAGAAGGCATTAGTGACCTCACTCTATTGGGCTTCTCCACCTCTGCACAGTTCCCCACATGACTCAGCAAGCCAGGCAGCAGTCTTGTTGTGGTCCTAGAACCAGCATTAAATCCAGCTCAGGCCTAGATTAACTGGTGCAGAAGGTTGGCCTGACAGTACTAAAAATAACTAAACAAAATGGGGATTCCCTGTATAAAAGCTTTATACTTCAGTACAATGAACATTTAGCACTTAATTCTAATCATGGCTATCTTGGCCAGCACCATATTACAGCATATCTTAGATTATCAACTACAGTGCTCACATCCGATTGATATGCTGACTAAGCTACTGCTCCATTAAAGATCAAAGCTAAAAGTCAGTGTATAGATTGAACCTCTCTTGTCTGGCATCATTCCTGGTCCGGCAAGACCACAGATGTTGCTAGACCACAGAGCCCCGGCTACTGAGGTTGAGAGTGGCTGGAAGCAGAGCCGGTATGGTCAGTGGCAGCCTGCAAGGGGCAGTGACCTGGGGATAGAGAGTCATGGGAGCAGCTGCTGCCACGCTCATGGGCAGAGCAGGAGAACCCAGGAGTAACTGCCGCCATGCACAGAGCAGCGGGCCGGGGAACCCCGGGAGCATCTGCTGCCACATACAGGGCGGGGGGCAGAGAGCAGCGTCCTGTGAGCAGACTGGGGGCCACAGAGCCAGGC